CGCGTTTTGCAGACGCTGCTCGTCGGTCCAGCCATTGTGGCGGGCGACACGTTCGTTCTGGTCAACCCAATACTCGCCGTCTTCGCAGAGTTGACCGCGCAAGGGGGCAGCCGTCCGCGGTGCGACGGGCATGAAGATGACGGGGGAAGCGGCGGGGGCTTGTGAGTGGTTGGCCATCGTCGTCTTCCTCGGCTTGGGCTTGTCCAGCAGCAAACCGCACTCAGGATCCTCTCCCTTGGTGCGGCGGCTGGTCCGAGTTTCAGGTTCCGCGTTGAGTGGTCTTCTTACTGAGCCGGGAATCGGACTTGCACTGCGGGCCCTTGGAGGGGAACGCTGCACGGGCATGCGCTACCCAGCACCTCCACCAAAATGTCACGAATGACAAGTGATGAGGCGATAATAACTGGGGAAACTAAACGTTTATGGGGCGAACTCGTGCCCAAAAATAAAAAGGGAACAGAAGAAAGCAGTAGAGCGTCGCGGGCGTCGATGTCGGCGAAACCGCAGGATCGAGCACGTGGGCGAGACTGACTCTGGCTCCCCACGCGAAGCCCCTTATGTACACGCGTGGGCTTCCGGGATAATCGGCATAGAAGGTTCGACGGGCCTGGAGCAAGCCCCCAACATGATTCTCGAATTTTCCAGAATACTAAATTGCAGGAATCAACAAAAGGCACGTCGCTCCCAGGAATCAAACCCTGGCTTTTCGCGTGGGAGGCAGGCGCGATAACCGTTAGTCCACGCGCGCGCTGCCTACTTGGCCAGCTGCGCGCGCGGCAATATACAAGTTGGGCCAATGTTTCCGATACATGCAAAACGTTCAGACAAGGTTTCGCTGCTAACACCCCACAATATTGTTTTAAACATGTTTTAAACACAATTAAGGAAGCATGACTCACTGCTCACAACTCCAAATAAATAAAAATGAGTTCAATGCACCCACACATGTAAAAAAGCAAAAAGTAAATACAGTTTATTTAAAGTCGAGCCTGCACTATAGGACGCTATGCAGGCGCGCCCATATCAGCGATATACGAAAGTCACCGGAATGCTGGCGAACCTTGAACACACTATACATTTGTTTTATTGTTATTTCGCTTAGAATAGTCGCTAGTTTTTAAGCACCTGTTGGGGAACAAATTTAAACTTTTACAATGATAATAAAGGTCCATACTATTTGTTACAACATAAATTACAAAAATGATCCATGCTAGTTTCCTGCGAAGAGGCAGAATGCAAGCTTGTTTCCTATAGGTATGCACAGGAGCGCCGCTAAAGTGGACGATTGCTGTCTGCTTCAATTTGCATCCTCGAAGGTGCATAGACACTAGCGAACTAGTGACAGTAGAACCTATAGGCAACCTGCAATGCTGTTTGGTATGGCGCCATCCAGCGACTGAAGCAAGAAATATTGGGTGCCCCTGGGAGTGGCGGCTGCAGTGTTCAAACGTGAGCTTTCACTCTGGTGGCGCCGCTTAGCCTAGTGTCTGAAGCAAGAAATACTGGGTATCCCAGGAAGCCGTGATCGCGTTACGTGCCAGTAGAGCGGAAGCTACGGCCCTGGCGGGCCAATCGGAACGTTACTACGTATCACCGGAGCGCGCCTTAACTCCGGAGAAGTATCAGGCTTTTCGCTGCGTCATGCTCCGATATGTGTGCGTTGCGCTCGTATACGCCGCACATTTCGAAGCTTTCGGCACGCAATGTGGGACTTATCGTTCACCCTTTGCCAAGTTACAACGAGACAGGGTATGACCGTGCGCTCTCACCCTGCTGGCGCCGCCTGGCCGTTGCCGGCTGGCTATAGCGTACATTATATTAACTCCATGGTTTGAAAACAAAACCAAAAGGCAATCTCTGGATATTTTTGAAGACAGTAGCGACACTCTCTAGGTTTTTTTTTTCCTCAAACATTATACTATTTCTGACAAAAAGGTTAAGACATATGCCATACAGCTTCGCCAATGCTGGAAACTCCACCGAAACCCCATGGGAGCTGCGGCGAACGCGACCGTGGCGCCTCTAGCGGACTTGGAGTTTACGGAAACAGACGACACAATGGAAAAGTATAGGCTCCGCGACGTCGTCGAACTTTGTGAGCGCCGTTTCGTCACCCCAACAGCTGAAACAATTCATTGCGGTCAGACCGCTTGCAAAACCGAATCCACTGATCGCAACTGCAAGGAGAATCAAACGACAACACGCGCAGAAACAAAGATAGAGCAGTTTATTTAGAAATCTCGAACACCGCTCACGGGATCACACGCGTTTGAAGCTCGTCGGGGAAGGGGGAAAAAGGCATTTAGTTCAAAGAAGTTGGGGGTAGCTCCCCCAACCGTCACCGGTATGCAGGAGCGGAGGCTCGGTAAACCACACTCTACATATGTATTTACAATATTTACACTGTCATTTTGACTAGCTCATCGAGAGGCCCTTCGCTGAATTCCAGATCCGTGCAGCTCGTGGTCCAGGCGCCTAGTGTCCTTAGCTCGTGCCTGTCCCGTGAGCGTGGCGCCGTTCAAGCGCTGGATCGCTGCCGCTAGCTGCCGCTAGCTGCCGCTACAAGGTCATGTGACGTCAATTTCCCGCTAAATATAGGGGACAAACTGGATTTATTTATAGGTGACGTCGCACAAAGTTATATGACGTCATTTCTCCGCTATATTTAGCGGGGAAATTGAAATGGTGCTGAGGTCATGTGGCCTTAATTTTTCTGCTAAATTTAGTGGTCAAGTTGGGAGGAGGGGAGGGTATGGAGGAGGAGGGGAGGGTACAGAGAAGGAGAGGATATGCAAATGGAGTAGGGGAGGTTAGAGAGGGGAGAAAGGGTACAGAGGACAGGGTACGCCGAAGGGGGTGGGGAGGGTATGGAGGAGGACGAATTGAGAATAAGGAGGAGGAGGGGGGGAGGATATGGAGGAGGTGGTACGAAGGAGGAAGAGAACACAGAAGAGAAGGAGGGTGCAGACCAGTATGTGAGGAAAGTGATCTATGTTTGTGCATATAGATAAATATCTTTCTCAATTTGTTTAGCACGGTATGTCGCAAAATCGAAATTCCTCAAGAGCTGTGCTCTGATTTCGCATTACAGAGATTTTTAAACGCATTTGATTTTTTATTGGAATGGCTAAGGTATAAAAACGAATGAAATCATGACGAAGAAATGATTTTAATAACAGTAAAATAATGATGAATATGTTGGGCAGAAAGGGGAAAATGACAGAAAAATCTATAATTAATTGTTTCGTTTTTTTATTTAATATTTCAAAACTACACAGAATTGGAATATGATATGGGTACAAATTATTGTGCTACATAACCCAACTGACTGAAGTGGGCGAAATACAAAAGTGAGTTATTTTAATAAAGGAGCCCTGATTGTCTCGATTATCCCAAAATATTGAAACTAACAATGAAAAAAACAAACAAAAAAACTAAAATGCTCCACAAAAAAAAAAAAAAAAAAAAAAAAAAAAAAGAAAGAAGATGACAGAGTTTTGGTTTTGTGCAGGTTCCAATATTGAATTCCTGTACCTCAAGTAACCTTGCGCAATAGTGATACACTACCGCACGCCGGTACGATGCTCATCCAGATCGAAACTGGCAGGGGTGGGGCTCGAACCCACGATCCCTGGGAACTTTGTCGTTCTTGTTCACCTTGAGGGATTTCAAACTCAGTCTAGTGTAATGGCCAGATAGCCCACCCCGAAAGCTTGTGGGAAGCCGGAAGAGGGGAGGGGGGATAGTTTAGCATTTTTTTGGGGAAAAAACAAAAACTAGCATGAATGTTGTTTTATGTTGGAAAGCAGTTGACTCTCCCAGCGACACCTCAGGGAGTCTCTAGAAAAGGAACTTCGTGCTCTCTGCTTTTTGTGAGCTCGCTGTTTTGCAAATGATATATTTTATTTTTGTTACCAATATACGTCGACTTTGGGCCCTCGCTTGATTTGATAAAATTTAAAACGCCAACGTAGGGCAGTTTTCGATAGAACAAAATAAATCATATTATCGCTGACCCGCTCCATAGGCTCACCAGTCATGGAAACAAATACCTGCTCATACGGCAGTTTTTACTTTCCTGAAAATCTTTCTAGCACAAACACGACAAAATACTCGCATCTTGAAGGTATCTTCTGACGGTTAGAAGTCCGCGAGGACATAGCTATAGCTTCGGCAGTGGCTTCTGCTGAGCGAGAGTTCATGCAGCCGGGGTGCCTCTTTGGGCAACGCTAGCGCTTGTAGCCTAATATAGTGGTATTCTCGTTCCGGTTAGTTTACACGAGAAAGTGCTGAGATGTAAATATTTACACAAGGCAATACACAGTCCAAACAAAACCAGATTATTGCAATATATGGAAACACGTTATCTGTGCAGAGCTTCTTTTCGAGCGGAAAATTAATCGACGATATGAAACTATTATTCATTTCATTTGTAGCGCTCACATGGCATGGGAACGGGGGCTTGTAGCCGCGGGATGCTTTCGAGACATGTCCCAGTGAGTCGCGGGCCGCATGCGACCCGAGGTCCGCGTGCTTCAGACTCCTGATCAAAGACACAGTCCGTTCGGATCCAATTATCACAAAAAAAGCAACAAGAACACAACAAACAGGGTGCGTATTTTAGAAAAAAAGAAAACTGTCTCGGCTGTAGAGAAGTTGGAAGTAACAATGGAGACATGAAGTGGAGCAATGATTTATGGGAAAAGAATTGGTGGATTACGTTCTGACACGCAGAGGCATCGGTGTGCTTTTATGCTAGACCTGGTGTTAAGTACGAATGTAAAAGTAACCTGGAGGGGACTAAAATAAAATGTCACAAAGAGCCATATTTGCAGTGCTTGATTACTACAAAAAAGTTGAAAACATAATTTCGGTTGTCAGTTAGACGCGAAGCATGCAAGGAAACAATCTGCGTTTGGTTGATTGAAACAGACTGCAATATTATTTTATATGATGTAGACCTTTGCCTCATGCCTTGCGAATTCTTTTTTTTTTTGCAGGTTAATTTGCAAGCCTCAGGTCAAGAAGATTCTAAGGAAGCTGTTTAATCCATTTAGCGGCTTGCTCAGCGTGGCGTCGTTTTTTGTGAGAGCCGCTTGGAAGCTTGAAATTAGTTTACTTAAAAACATTGCCATCATTCCGGACGCACTTGATGCTCTATTGGTTCAGAAGGAGTACGGCTTAAAGATCCCACACTGGTTTGAGGAGCGATACAGCGAGCTATCCGACGCTTCTCGAAGACTCTACCTCCTGATTGCTGAAGGTTTAATAAGGCACATGGGAGGCGAACTTCTCAGGTGAGTTGTTCTTTCACAATGAATGCATCGATTGAACACTCCCAATCGAGGAAAATTTAATTTTAAATCATCAATAATTCTCGGGAAAGAGAGCCGCACCTTCTGTTTATTACTGCCTGTTTAAGTAATCGCCCAATGTTTGTATAAAGGGTGATTACAGGTATCAACGGTAAGGACCAAGCCACTTGGCAGGCCTTGAAAAATTCCAAACATACGTATATAAAATTGGGTATGCCAACGCCGTTTAACACACAACAACAAAACCTTATATTTTAAAGATACATTCAGAGGTTGTGAAACTTAAAACCTAAAGCAAAAACGGCGGCCTAGAATTTCCAATGCCCTACACCGGAATGCTCTTTGTCTGTGCACTGAACAACGAACTCGCTTTCACGGAACGTAAAACCGGGCATCCGCGAGATTATTCGCGACGTCGTCCGGGAGGAGCTCAAGTAGTTACTTTATATAGCCGTACGCAAGGCCTCGCTCTCGATCATCGATGTCGTTCGAAGAAAAGTACCCCTTACAAAAATGGTTATCTGGACTTACATAAAGAAAAAACAAGGTATGGTTATATAAAAATTGGGAATATCTGGCCATATCAAGCATATAAGTTTATATAAGGGCAGCATGGCCAGATATGCCCAATTTTTTATATATTTATATCTGGGTTGGCCAAATAGAGACATATCTGCCTCTCATATTAGGCCAGATAAGTCCCAATGAAATAAGGCGACCTTTATATATATTGTTGTATTCTACAATTGTATACCAAAAGTGACTTCTCATCTGTATAAGAAAAATACCAAGTGCATATTGAGCATCTACCAACTTTTAAAATTTTTACATGAGCTGCTTTACGCCACTTCTCATTTTGATAAACTTGGTTCCCAGGGAAAGCAGGATTATCGACATTCGCGTAACGAGCGTCGGTGAAACGTTAATGTTGACGAAACGTGCCCATAAAACCTGTATCCACGAAAAGGGGCCGTGGAAGGTGTTATCACGAAACGCAGAGAGAATAAAAAATTCAGTGTTCTACCTGCAGTTCTTACATTATTTCAGACGACCAATGGCACAATTTCGGGAAAATTATTCTCCCGGTTGCATGGAGCTAAACACGGCCTAATTCTAGAGGTAATCTGGAACAGTACCTGTAGAAAAACGATGAATTGTCACGAAGTCGGTTGCAGGGCACTTACGTAGGCGATACCGGACTTTAAAGGTGTACTCCGAGATACATGTTGGCACTGGCACGGCAGAACAACCACTCAAACACAAAAAACGAGAAGGAAGGTGTCCGTAAAGATTCAACGCAATGTAGCACAAGCTGTCATTTCTGGGACCAAAAGTTAAACGCATCACAAAAATTCTTGGGCTTTTTTTGAAGAAATCGCTTCTTTCCAATATACGGGTTGGACTTTTCGAACTAGATACCATTTACTACAGAAGCAGAATCCACAGCAATCACGCAGGGCACCACACTCCAAACCAGGTCCGCAAGCAGGCATTCGGAGATTGCCAACGACTAATGCGTCATCCGTCACACCACGCGACCTCGCTTCTGCCATTTCCGACGCAAAGAGATAGGATTCAAGCTATAAAAAGTCTACGGCTGATTGGTTCCGCAAGTGCGCACCTACTACCACGCTTTCAGCTTAAGAAGAAAGAGAGAGAAGGGAAGGCCAAAACGGGGGAGCACACACAAAAGGCTTAGATTCTGGGGCATCCCAAGAATGACCACAACGAGAGGATTTGTCACTTGCACCCAAGGTTGATAGTGTAGTGAATGCTATGTGTGGCATCGGGCTTCTGACAGGTGCCGTGTTCTGCCTTATCACCAGCTTCTAGAGTGTAGTCACGTAACCCTAACTGGAGACACGATTGGCCTAAAACACATATTGCGTCTAGTCTGCCCTGCTGTCAATACCGAGTGAGTAGGACAGCTCTATAAAGTCCAGCTTTTGAACTTCCAAAGAAGCCGTTCAGCCCGAAAGTGACCCAAAACGATGCAAGTTTGAAGATACTAAGAAACTCTCATTACAATTTTAAATAAAAAACTAAGCGCAAAAATCTTTTTTTTTGCGCACGATATGCACAAATAAATAAATAAATGACTGAATATATATATATATATATATATATATATATATATATATATATATAGATATATATACAGGGTGTTTTTTTAAGTGTAACAGATTTGCTTAAAAAGAGCCGTGAAAGTTACACTTATTCCTCTTGTGTGGTTGAGTTATACGGCCAGGGGGACATATTATAGGGGGCTAATCGTAACGATCAGTCGGCTAATTAATTAAAATTCATTAATTAACTTTTTAATAATGAAAATAGACACATAGTTCCAATTAGAAACTTGCCTAGGTGGCACAGTTCTTGGGTCAAAATTTATTTTTGTCTGCAAATTTAGGGCCTTAAAAAGCCCGAAGAAGTTAATGTAGATTAAGTTTTTTTAGGCCAAAGTCAGGGTCTCTTGGCCCGATTTAGCCAAAACAAGTGCGAAAGTTAGGCTTCACTGCTGGTAGATGTGCTCTCATGTGGCAGCTATGGGCCTAAATTGCACAACAAAGGCCAGTGACAAGCTTCACTTCACTTTCTTCGATTTGGATGCAGCAACTTTGTGCCTAAATAATCAAACGAGTGAGTGCTTGATTCAGGCTTCCGCACTGGTTCTTGGGTTTCTACTGGCATCTTTGGCTCAATACTGACACTTTAGCAATCATGTCTAGGGTGAGTGGAAATGCATAAAAACGCCAAATAAGAGTACTCTGGGACTAACTAACGTCTTGGGGCAAAATTGTATTAGGTCCCAGTTAGGCATCCAAGATTGCAAGCTTGTGCCAATCTAAACGTTTGTCTGGCATGATGGGTGGATTCATTTTTCTCTGCCTTTTGTTATTTATTGTGTTTAGGTATTCGGATGAGGTTATTATTATCAACTTTAATAGTCAATGGGGACGGCGTGGGTGTTCAGTTAGGCAGTCGCACTAAAATATATAAAAAAAAACTCCGATATAAGATAAGCTTTGCATGCAATTTTTTGCCTTGACAAAATTCTGCTGCGAGAGTTAGTGTTAAAACACCTTTCGTGCGTAAAGAAATACTTACCGAGCCCCTTCCTCAGTCTTTTTTTTAGTTGCATAGTTCTATCCTTCCCGTAAAAGTGCGGCTCAGGGAAAAGTGAATATTTGTGCCATGAGGCGTAGATAACTTAAATGTGTAAAATGAAAAAAAAAAACAAAAAAAAAAAACATAATAGAACTGGTATATTTTTTTTTTGCTGGGATGTTGTACTTTTGCCCGTCTTGCAGTGCACACTAAAATAGTACGTTCTTATTTTTTCATAAACGATTCGGTTCTTGACCGTATATTCAGAAGATGTTGTTCCTTATTACATGGTTATGCTTGTACAATCATTCAGCATATAAAAAAGCAGGTGTCTCGATCTGTCATGGTGATGTTGATGCGAAGGAAGTGAATGTGGAGTTTCGTAAAATTGTGCCAGAAGTGAAAAGTGTCTATACATCCGCTTAACAAAGTACCCGAATCAAAAAAAGTACTTTTGAAACTTTCCGCCAGATGCGAAGTCTTTAATCTTTCTATCAAAAACATGGTTGCTAATTTTCTGGTGCATCTGAAAGCACTACTAAAGTGTGACTAACAGTCTTCCAGTTCCCATAAAACAAAGGAAAAAACTGTAATAATTAGGGCTGGGCGTCGATTAAAACTTTTAACCCGATTAATCGCCAGCCTTTAATCGATTAATTAATCGATTAATCGGTCTCGTTTATTTCCATGCATATAATATTGCTCAAAAGTAAAAATTGCATCTATTTTATTTCTTTTTGCTTAATATGTGTTAAACGACGCAATAATTTCAACTATGAATCAGCTTCGATATACAATTGAGAACAGTTAAAAAACACTCACACTCACATATTACTTCTGCTCCATGAGGCAAAAATGTTCGTTGATATTTTCCGAAAAGGGCGGCCTCCTTTGATTGCTCACAGCAGTCTCTGCTGCGCTAAACAGACGCTCGCACGGCGTTGAAGTCTCTGGGACATGTGTAATCTTCTGGACTTGTCTGAAGTTACAAATCTCCCCCTTACAGTTTACCTTAAGTTAATACTTCACCTAAATTTTTTACTTCATATAGGTGTGCTGGTCCGTGTCTGCATGGTGAAAACATTGAATCTTTATTTAATTTTGGTTCGTCAAAATTTTACCGATTAACCGGTTAAACAAATTAATCGCGATTAAAGCATTAATCGATTAATCGGTAGGTTAATCGATCAATTGCCCAGCCCTAGTAATAATACTTAAAAAACGAGCGAGCTGGTGATGATTCGTGGTTATAAAACCCGAGACTCAGGAACACAGAAGGGGACGAACAGAACGCAACGTTGAGACGTTGTGCTGTGTTCGTCCCCTTATATGTTCCTTAGTCTCGGGTTTTATTACCGTGAAAAAACTGTATTGTCGCGTGTGTGGGCGAGTTGGCAGCGAGCACGGCTCACACGCCGAAGGATGGGGTTTGAGCTCCTAGGTTGCAGGTTTTTCGTTTCGTTCATCATCTGGAGCGTTTAACCTTATTCTAGTCAGTCATCGTGTGTTCTGATTTAGAAAATTCTGCCACATGGAGCGGATCTAAAGGCACCAATTGCTTGTTGCGTTGAGTTAATCTCACGAGAGGGCTCGATTTTGTCTTTACACCGACATTGACGCCCTTAACGCCACATCTTGTACTATGGCTTCGTCACAAGTTTACTCTATAAACCTTTATTTCCTCTCAGTAAGTTCTGCGCCCTCAACCATCATTCGTGACAATATTTGTTTAATGTATTGTGTAAGGTAATTAAGAAGGTATTAAACTGTTTCATGCAAAAAGGCGTAAATATCAATTCAGAGTGCGCTACAGTATAACTTTTTTTTTTCTCGCCTACTGTCGTGCTTTAATACGAATTCGACGGTGACCATGGGACCGTCGTTGGATCAGTACTGCCAGTACCTATTAGCGGCGCTTCCGTGAACCACGGAGAGGGCACGTGTCTGCACAGATATAACAGTTCGACTGGTGCAAGAATGCATATTACCTGCTTTTTCCTGTCCGTCTGGATATGATGCGGCGATATTTTTTATCCATTTACTGAAATGACGAAATCAATACGTTCTACGCGCTCGGTTGTGCTGCCGTCGCTCCGTGTGTCATGCTCAGACTTGGGAAGTCATCCGTTACTAGTAGTAAATTACTTGTAATGCGTTACTTTTTCAAGATATTTTGTAATTGTCATGTTACTTTCCTGCGGCGGTAATTTGCAATGTAATTTCGTAACAATTACTGGTAACCAAGAAATTACTTCAAGTATTCGTAACCTTTTAAAACTATGAACGTAATGCAAAACGTGGGGCAATATGAGCAGGCTATTAAACAGCATAAACCTAACAAATTAGAAAAAAAAAAAAACATCGTGAAGAAAAGATCGACCGAAAATAAAACACGACTTTTTTTTTGTTATGTCTGGTCACTAAAACCAGTAGAAAACTGTGGAAGGCATACGCAAATATGAGAAAGTCGATGAACAAGAAGACAACTCTGTATGGACTCTGTTTTCATCGCCTTCCATCATGCTGTTCTACTCCTGAGTATGAGCAATGAAATGTAGTATTGCATAACGTTTTTGGAAACATTATGATCGTTTCTATTGGTTTCTTGACAAGTGTACGGGAAAAGTAACGTGAAAGTAAGTTTCAACATCAGGACAAACTAATCTGTTATTTTTGAGCGAAAGAATTTGTAAGGGTAATTGATTACTTTTGAGATTCGGTAATTTGCAATTGTAATTCATTACATTTTATAAAAAGCGGGCACAAGTATGGCCTATAGTTTCCGGAACGCGACTGTAATATTTTTATTCCTTAGAAAGCGCGCTGTGAGATAAACACTAGCACGACAGCGTGAGACTTCTTTCTGTGATGCGCATGCTGTATCTGATGCGCGGAGGCGCCGCTAGTTGCCGTTGGCAGTACCGATGGGTCGATACTCGCATGAACACCGTCATATTAGAGACTACAGTGCTTCAATACTCAGTTTAAATTGATTTAAATTTAAGTTGTACAACAAGCAATATATGGATATTTTTAATGTTTATTTGCCACATTTCTGCTTTAAACTATACAGCTTTACGTATTTACAAACAGGGAACTTTTGGAGAAAATTAGACAACCTCAAGAACTCCTCTCTGTTTGAACGCCAAGAGAAGTGCCTGGTTTTTTTAAATATTCTTCCATAGTCCGAGAGTGGCAATAGTCATTTTAGCCAGGAAGGACGACGGCGGTATCGACGTATTTAAAAGTGTCATATGCCACTTTTGCCTTTAGCGAAATCTTCACTTTCTGATTATTCAAGTGAGCTCCCTTCTTGTGTTCCTCTAGAATTTGTCATGATTTTATTACCCTTGTGTTTCATAACTCAAAAATGTTTCTTCCGTTCGTATAATGTGAATTTCAGTTATTAACATAAAACTGCGATATTCTTCTTCTTCAGGGACATTGCCACACTCCTTGAAGAACGATATCAGCCTGCAGGAAACGAAACTCAGAACGCTACTGCCATCCCAGGGTTTGAAAATGCAACTAGTCAAACCAAGTTCCTCTTTTTTTCTTATCACGACCTGAATATCATGGCAACTCTGATGGTTCTCAACGAAACGTTTTCACAAAAGCCATTTTATGGCTCGTTAGTGCTTTTCGAGGTGACAAAACGAAATCAGGGTGAACACGAGATTAGAGTCCTGTACCGAAATGGGACTGCAAAGCCCGTTTTGTTTCCAATAAAGGGCTGCGGATCGCCGTGCAGGGTTACGGAATTTATCAAATTGGTTCGAGCGAAATACCCTACGCCATTTACGGCAGAAGACTGCGGACTACCCAAGAACTATACTATTTTGTAAACGCACGTTTGGATGAGCAAATAAAACTGGAAGAATGGGATGTGTGCGAAATTATAGAAATACTCATCGCGCTTGTGGTTCTTGCATGCCTTTTTGTTGGAGTTGCCTTGCCTTTAGTATAGTTAAAACATACCTGCCAAGAAGAGTAAAAGAATTACAAGAAAATTGTAAGTCCAAAAATCAATCCAGCACAATATTTTAGAAAAACAAACACGTGGGTTTTTATTGAACAACCAGCACAAATAAGCCTCAACAAAAGATATCTGTAACGTACTTGCACTACTGCATTCTTAAAGAAGCATGAAAAAATATTTTAATTTTCAGAATTTCATGCGATTTTCGGTTGGCTTTCGGGACTTCTCTTCTAGCCCCGATCGGAATAAATTGTAGAACAGCGAAGTGGCGATACGCTGTTAAGATGCGTTGTTTTTTATTTGCGGAACGTTACTAAGTGAGGCCAAAAGAACACTGGCAGATTTTCCATTCCTCTTAGACGGAGTACGTCTTATTGTGAAGCATCGAACTAAGTGGGGTAATTGAACAACCATTCTTAACCAAATAACGATCCTCGCTAATAAAGGCTTTTTTTTTTAAAAATGCTTAGCGCGAACGCTTCGAAAGCAACCCGGTATTTAAAAACAAATATAAGTTTGACCTTTTCCCGCTTGAAGCGCCAGTCTTCTCATAAATATAATTGCAAATGCGCTATTCTAGACAAAACAAAATGCAGACAAAAATGTGGGGCTGAGTGGACGACTGATTGCGCGACAAGACAACGGACACAGGCGGAGACACAGTCTCAGCGCTACTTAAAACCGAGCTTTATTTCGGCTGCAGCTCGGTATAGACCTTTTCTGCAAGTGCGTAGCCATCTTGAATTGACATCACTTCCAGTATGGGCGAAAACATTGTTTTGCCTTCGCCACGTCAATAGAAGGCATTTAGGAGATAAGCGTAACCGTCACACATTCTTGTTTTGCCACCCCTTTATTTTTTACTATTTGCAAGTTGAAACTTCAGATTATTTTGTCGTTGCCCATGCCGGATACGCCTATTAGGTGGCTGGGGACGAGAGTACACAGAAAAGGTCTACATAATACCGGCAACAACACAAACAAGTTAGGAAGACAACTTGTTTCTTGTGTTTCCGGTAGTATATACCAAGCTGCAGCGGAAATAAAGTTCAGTTGTAAGTAGCGCCGTGTCTGTCTCTTTTTCTGTGTCCGTTGTCTTGTCGCGCTTTTGAATCATTATGAATCCCAAACTCGCCCAACTTCCTACCCTCGTCAGCTTGATTTGTAAAGTTTAGTTTGAATTCGGTCATCTGTTTCGCTGGTTATGACCTTCGCGATATTTAGAAGAACCATTGTGGTGATAACGGGCTAAATTCTCACACATTAATATCTTGAAATGACTGTTCGTAACTACTACAGATTATTAGGAACCAGCATATGGTTAGTTGAGTGCTCATTATATTTTTTTTAAATATCTATTATCTATCTTTTTGGTGTTTCTGCTTCTATGGTGATTTTAGCAAACCAATGAACGAAAGCAAAAATGCAAATATAAGGGCGCATCAATTTTAAATTCGCATAAAATCACAAAAACACCTCAATCTTCCGCCGCATCTTGTGATATCAAAAGCGTGAGTGATGAGTGGTCACATTGTATAGAGTATTATATAGTGCCGTCAAAATATATTTAAAAGTAAAATAAAATAGTCAATACCACCAACCGCTTGCATTTTTTTTTGTAAAGTAGCTTTTTTTATAATCGCCCCGTCAAAAAGAAACACAAAATTTCAAAAGTGCGTAGTCCAGTCGCAAAGAACGAGCGGCTCATTGCTGCGGGAACGAGAATATTACGAAAGGTGATAAACGATGGATAGCGCTAGAATATGGGATCGTTTCCTTTTTCCGCTGGGCCACGCATAGACTCACCCGCTTTAAACACAACGAGGCCCAACTTCGTACTTTACTAACTCCGGTAGCCGACCGCGGAGAAAGACCAGCAAGCATGCTTATCAGGTAGCCGACAAGGGGCCTGGGGCTTCTGAGAGGACGTCATGAACCCAACCCGCAGCCAATTGGACAGTCGAACGCGTCACCCTTCCCACTGGCAGCTAAGGCGTCATGGAGATGACATTTTCGTTGGCGTATCACTCCAAAAATATGGCGAACTTTATTGAAAGAAAAAAGATGATTGTTAGTACTTACTTACTAGCACAAAGTGAAGGAGAGATGCGTTAAAATATTCGAAAAAAATTATGTTTTTTTTAAGTTGTGGTCTCAACTGTGTTAATGAAAACAGAAGGTGAGCAGTTTAAGTGAGGACTATTTTAAAGTTGTATGTGAAATTAGCGAAACTCCCGAGGAATAATATATTAATTTTCTTCGGTATCACTATTACATAGAAACATTGATTTCACTTGATCTTGTTTTACGTACAAAAAATCTGAACGAAAGATAAAAAAAACGAAAAAAATAATTTAAAGAAAACACTATTTTATAAAATTACCTTAGTTAGGTGCTCTCCAAATTCACACACTGAAGACACATTCTTGTAGTAATACATTGTTGAAGTAGAATTTTAAAGCTCTCACTGTGTAGCAATGGGTCAACCGATGTAGTTATTAATATATTTATCCGCATTGAAGAAACAGTTACTTCGCCTCCGCAGCGCCAGCGTTGCCTGCAGAGTATTATATATCGTAGCAGATTTCAGAGAGCGTTTCGGGACGGTGGCAAACAATGAACACGAAATCCTTTATCTCCTCCGCAAATCGAATGCCCTATGAGCCACAATTTTGGCGTAAGAACCGAACCGCCTTATTTGCGACTCGAAAGAAGTGAAGTGTGCTCATGCATCGCTGTGCTCGGCGCTCTAGGTACTCGGGCGCACGTTCGCATATAGCTTTGAGCATTGGCAGAAAACTGTGACAGGCGCTTCTAGTTCACTTGTCTGGCCCCATGATGCGCATTGGTCGTTAATTTTTATGCCATGTGCAAATTCCCGTCAAAGCGGGGTTTGTGGGAAATAAAAAAAAAGAGAAAAAAGAAACAACAGTAACTTTGAATAAAAGAAGGAGATAATTAGTGTCTGGCGATTCCAAGACACTGATAACTTATTATTCTTCCTTACCATTTCACTGCGATACTGCGATGAAAGAAAGAGCATCAGAACTTCTAAACAATTTCACAGAAATAATTACACGCAGTTTTAAAGTTCTTATAGTTGACTTGGAGTGCGATATACTCAGGTAGCTTCAGATATATCTGTGTTGCAAGCGAGTATAATCATAAAACATATGCCATTATTAGTTTTTGATTCTCTTGAAGACGTATCTAAGGATAGATTGTCAACTTAAGTATTCAAGTCACATAATTGTCTACGTGTTAATTTGTATACAATTTCCGCCTGATGAATTGTTGTCGCCAATAAAAAAAAGGAGATTAATTTAGAACGAAAAATAAACGTTTAATAAAATGAACGTGCACCTAAAATCTTAAAGAGAAATGGGCGATGAGTCTTGCGTCGGCGACGGAAGGTGACTGACCCGAGGCTGCGCGTTACCGCTACTTTCATGCACACGCCATGCTCAGGAATATTCTGAACAAGAAAGTCAATGACAGCCGTGAATGGGCAGAAATTTTTATGAAAACGATGAAAAAATAGCGCACAAAAAGACGAGAACAGGGACAGGAGCCGAACATAGAAGACAGACAGGCGCTAATTATTTCATCATGTTCAAATAGTACCAACTCACCCAGCTTGTCACCTTACCATATTTAATTTGTAAGAAGCGTAAATAATAAATAAAATAAATATCCGCAACGAGAAGGATTCAAACCCTATTCCTCTGCGTTGCAGCCGCAAGCGTTGCCAACTCTGCCACGCAGGCTGCTTTTTTTTTTTTCAGATTTGGACGATTACACAAGGCAGTGTCACACACTCGCGAAGAAACACTAAAAGATACCAGCCATCTTGGCTGACGTCAAACATGTTACGAGTGTTTGAGGGTAAACAACACCTCAAAAAGTGGCAGCCACTCAGTTGTAGGTTACTGGTCTTTAAAGAATTCCTTCAGAGATGTGCTCAACAAAATACGTATGCACGGGGCGAATACCGCGTGGCGCACAGTCATGCGGCACGCTATATGCTGTGCAAATTCATGTCATAGGGAACGTTATATTTCCATTTTACTGTCCAAAACTTACTCCATGGGGCGCTAATGGGAAGTTTTTACTGAGGGTCAGTTGCAGGACGCCTTATAAGAAGACCGCGTCTCAATAGTCTAGGAATGTGATCAAATTTTTTCTGCTTTCTTCACAGTATGCACATGTTATACCAAGCTACTAGGATACCTTTTTCAACTAACCCGGCACTAATTGAAAGTGTGTAACTATGCAGGAGCCGTAGTATAATTTAAACAGCAAAATAAAAGGTAGCTTTTTTATTTTACCTACTATTGTTTTTTAATGCTAAAATTCCACACTGTAAATATACGTACTTTCCGTCGCGATATCGTACTGCTGTCCTTGCCCAAAAGCGCAATCGCTCTCGGGACGAGACAACCGACAGCCACATTAGCCACTGTACGATAGAAGCTTACTGTTCAGACCAGTGTTCCAACATGACTATCCGCACGTCAATCGATTGCACCTAATTCCTCAAGTGGTATTAAACGTTTTAATGTAAAGCGGAATGTTAACCTGCGACACTCCACCCCTTCCGATCACGGCCCGACCAGAGCCATCAATGCCCGACAGTTTACGATCTCATCTTGTTGTTACACCACTGATACGCGAACACACGGTCACATTGGCGATAATTCCAGTCTTCTTTTCACAACCCAAAACACTGCAATCACGATGTTGCTACTATGTTGCTGACACGCACAATTACAAAACCACGTTGAACGCCGGCTGAACTCAGCATCGGAAAACAGAACCGAACTCAGCACGGAAGGCACCCAGGCAGCCGGCAGCAAAACCTGCCTGTCTTGGACGCAGTTCCTGCGATTTCCATAACGTCGAAAACGCGTACACAGTTCCGCGTGGTTTCGCTACTGTAGTTCCGTGCCGCGTGAGCGCGTGAGTCCCGCAATCCGGACACGGCCATG